AGTGAAGGGCACTTGGATGTGTGTGGGGTGTGTGTGTGTGTGTGTGTTACAGATCTGTCCCTCAGGGACAGGCCTCTCACTGAGGTGGCTGTGGAGGGGAGAAAAGGGGGCTGACTCAGGGAGTGTCGGGAGGAGATTGGTGATTGATGGGAGGAGAAGCTGTGGGCCCAGCAACATGATAATTAGGTGAAGACAGGTTCAAAGAACAGGGCTGCTCCTCAGGTCCCTGAAGGGACAGAGGCGCAGACATGCTTTGGAGCCCCAAGTCCAGGGCAAAGACTAGGGGAACCCACCTTTGTTAGTAACAAACTCTCATTTTCCAGGTAAGGAAAATGAAATTTAGGGAAGGGAAGAGACTTACACAGGGTCACACAGCCACTAACTAGCCCATGCTATTTCCACTGTCCCTTACCCAACTTCTCCCTGCCCTGACTGGGCAGAGGGGTTCTGGGTCTACAGCTGTGTTGGCTGAATCCTAGGGCTTCTGGGAAATCCCTTCTCCTCACAGCCCAAATGGAAAGCCCCAAGGTCAGAAGAGGTTGTCTTAGCCAAAGCCTTCCCTCTAAAGGAGCCAAGCTTCCAGGCTAGCCTAGTGCCCACGGAGATGCCTGCTTTTTGGGGGCAGGTGCCCACTCAGGATGGTGACTTTCAGTTCTAGACAGCCCAAGTGAGCACACAGGGCTCTTTTCCCTCCTGACACTTTATTATGAAAATGTTCACACACATAGCAGAGTTGAAAGATTTTGCATTGAACAGCCATATATCTACCCACCACCTAGATTTCACCATCACATTTCACTGCACTTGTTTGATCACAAATCTAGCCATCCCTCAGTCCATCTTATTTTTTTAATATATTTCAAATTGAAGTGAAGACATCAGTACATTTTCCCCTAAATATGTCAGCATGTATTTCATTAACTAGAGCTCAATATTTATTTCTATTTTTCTTATGTAAAATTTACATATGGTAAAAAGCACAAATCTTACATGTATATTTGCTGAAGCCTTCTTGAACTCAGCAAAATGTCTTTTGAGATTCATCCATATTGTTGCATGTAACAATATAGCTCATTGCTTTTTTTAATAAACTTTTTATTTTGTAATAATTTTAGATTTACAGAAAAGTTGCAAAGATAGTACAGAGAGTTCCCATACACCCCACACCAGTTCCCTCATTGTTAACATCTTACATTACTGTGATACCTTTGTCACAACTAAAAAACTGACACTGGGTGCATTGTTGTTAGGTGCCATGGAGTTGAGTGCGACTCACAGTGACCCCTGTGACAGAGTAGAACTGTCCCATAGAGTTTCCTAGGCTGTAATCCTTACGGGAGCAGATTGTCAGGTCTTTTTCCCACGGAGCCACTGGGTGGGTTCCAACTGCCAACCTTTCGATTAGCAGCTGAGCGCTTAACTGTTGCACCACCAGGGCTCCTTACTGGTACATTATTAAGTTACTATTTTCTCTTTCCCTGCTTTATTCTTTGGAAGTGAGTCACCGACTCTAACTACCCTCAGGGCTGGGGGATGGGTAAGAATTAAGTTCCACCTCCTGGAGAGAGAAGTATCTATATATATTGTTCGGAATTCTTCCATAGAAAGATGTCTCTTCTCTCCCTTTTATTTATTTATTCAATTTTTTATTAGATTATTGTTTTTCAATTGAATTTTATTTTTATCAAATTTTTTATTTTCTAATAAGGCTTATATAAGGAGCCGTGGTGGCCCGGTGGTTAAAGCAATCAACTGCTAACTGAAAGGCTGGCCTTTCAAAACCACCAATGGCTCCACAGGAGAAAGATGTGGCAGTCTGCTTCCATAGAGATTTACAGCCTTGGAAACCCTATGGGGTCACTATGAGTCGGAATCGACTCAATGGCAGTAGGGTGTTGTTTTTTTTTTCTTTTTCCTTTCAAATAAGGCTTATAAGGAAAAAGAGTAGCTCCCTAAGGTTTTATAGTTATTTCTTTTGGTACTTCTAAATAACATGTTTACTATTTGTTATTTCTTGACTTCCCCCCCCATTGTATAATAGTTAGAACTATGTGAAATTGCCAATATGCAACCATTTCTGATCTATAAAAATGGCAATTTTATATAATTTAACTTAATATATAGTATTGTGACTTCCTACTTCTTGTCCAGCTGGTTTTTGTGTGACACTGGAGTTGGCTCATTTTGCTTTGTTGTGAATTGTGACTTAGGACCTAGCCCTCATCTGACCTGGCTCAAAGTCCCCTGCACCAGGTCAGGCACTGCACCAGGTTCTTCTTCCCCAGCCAGGGCATTTTGGGGCCTGAGTGAGAAATGCTATTGCAGGGTATGTGGTTAGCATCTGCTGTGATAACTGCCCCACTATGGGGGCCAGTCTGGGGCTGCCAGTCCAGGCAGCTGTGGGGCAAAGCCTCAGGGGGCTCCTTGGGCTCTGTCTGCTCCACTGATGCCTGTGCCCTTTGAGACTGGGCCCCAGATACATCACCTTCCAGGGTCCATGGCCACTTGGAGTTTCCTTATCTGTAAGGCGAGGATGATCAGACCTTCCAGACAGGCTCCTGTAGTGATAGAATGGCAGGTACTTGTCCTGAGGTCATCACTCTTTTTGGTGACAGGAGCATCTTCCTGAGCTCCTTCTCCAGGCCCCTCCATGTTCTCCTTCCTGCCCACAGTATGTTCAGCTGCTCTCATTAACTGCAGGTGAGAGAGAGAACTCCAGGGGCTGGAGGGTTGGTGGACTAGATCCCAGGCCTGGTGCAACCTCTAACTTGCTATAAAACCCTAGCCAAGTGCTTCCTTTGCTCTGGGCCTCAGCCTCCCTGTCTGCCATGAGGGTGGTTGGCGGTGATACTCTTGGGTACCCTCTAAGTGCCTGTGAACTGGTGGTGTCTGCAGTGGTGAGCCCTTCCCTCCTCTTCCTTTTATGGGCCTGGGCCCCTGCCCCTCCTGTTGCAGGCACTGGAGGTCTTGGGCAGCTTGGGATGGGTGGGATTGAATGACTACAGGTCCTACGTGTGGGTGACCTCAGCAAATCACTGTTCTTCTCTGGGCCTTGGTGAGGGGGATGGTGGGCTGAGCTTCTAGGACCCTTTTGATTTGGTGGCCCAGAATGGGAAAGGCAGACTGAGCTGGGCATGGAGATACCGTGGTGAGCCAAACCACTCAGGGTACTGCCCAAGTGGTGCTCCCAGGCCACTGAGGAGACCCACAATCATCAAGCAGTCCCACAGATCAATGTGAAATTGTGTTCTGGATGAGTTTGTGCTACCAAATAGAGGCAGATATGGCCAAGACCTAATCTAGGGGTAAAGGAGAGCTTCTCTGAGGAAGTGATCCTGGCCCGAGACCTGAGGGGCAAGTAGGCATTGACTCGATGAAACGGGAGAGAACGTTCCAGGCAGAGGATACAGCAAAGATCTGCAGCAGGAGGAACAAGGCCAAGTGAGGTAGAGCACAGGGAGGGTGATGCCTGTACATGGGTGGGGCCAACTGCAAGGTCCCCAAAAGCCATGGGAAGCCCTTGGAGGATTTTCAGCCAGAAAGTAACATGTCCAGGTTTATGTTTTTGCAAAGCTCCCTCTGGCTCAAGGGAGAATGGACTGGAGGGGAGGGTTTGAAAGTAGGAAGCTTAAGGGGATACCTTGCTGTTGTTTAGGAGTTGACAGTGGCTTTGTCCAGAGTGCTGGCAATGGGAGTGGGCAGAAATGCGTGGACTTGGGAGAGTTTAAGAGGTAGAACTGAGAGGACTTGGTAGCTTACTTGGTGAGGGGGATGTGTGTGCTGGGGTGAGAAGTGTTAGGTAATTCTGTGGTCCAGGCACCCAGAAGGAAGATGGGGGCGTGGGTACCCAGGGGGAGAAGCAGATTTGATAGAAAAGTGAGTTTGATATGGGTCTAGCTGGGGTGGAGGGGCCTGTGAAGCATGCCTGTGGTGAGGTGGAGGGACCTCTGGATACAGATGCACTAGTCTGGTGTTCATAGGCCAGGGTGTGGAAGAGAGATGTAGATCATGATAGGGAGAGGGAGCACAATGCAGGGAACTTCTGAGAGGCCAGGGAGACCCTGCAAGTCTAAGGTTGGGCCCTGAGGTGAAGGACCCTGGGCAGGGTCTCCCCAGTGGCTACTGATCCAGGCACAGGCTGAGGCCTTGGTGGAGATGCTGGGCAAGGGCCTTCCTGTCCCCCAGCACCTGCCCAGCCCCTCAGGGACCCTGGGTTCAGAGGGAGGTATCCTCTAGCTTCTCACATCCTCTCTCTTCCCCCAGATCCTGCTCATCTCTGATTACTTCTACGCCTTCCTGCGGCGAGAGTACTACCTCACACATGGTCTCTACTTAACTGCCAAGGACGGCACGGAAGCCATGCTTGTGCTCAAGTAGGCCTGGCTGGGCACAGGGCTGCACGGACTTCAGGGGGATGGAAAGGCCAGGAGCTCGGCCATGCTCTCCAGCCAGGGCTGCCAGCAGGCTAGTCCCTGAGCAGATGGGGTTTGGCCTGTGGGGAAGAGTCAGGAGCACCCCGACTTGGACCCCAACTTTGTGGCCCTGTAAACAAGGAGCTCCCTCACAGACAGGAAGAGGGAAGAAGCAGGTGGGCAGGGTTTGCTGGGTTGTGGCTACTTAATAAATGTTTTTTGTTATGAAAAAGTCTACCCTGGAACCACAGTGCATGCCTGGAGAGGGTAAGCTTGACCCCTAATACTGCCACAGTACCAAAAGATTGGTGGTTCAAACCCACCCAATAGCTCTGCAGAAAAAAGGCCTTGGCAATATGCTTCCATAAAGATTACAGCCCAGAAAATCCTATGGGGCAGTTTTATGCTGTCACATAGGGTCACAATGAGTCAGAATTGACTCAGCAGCACCCAGCAACACTACATGAGTTTCCAGAATGAGCCCTGAGTCCACAGAACACAAGTCTGTGCCCTGCAGGCTAAGAATGGTTCCCAACAGTCCCATCAGCAACCTTCCCCACCCCCCAAGCAAGCAGCTGGAGGCAAAGGGCCAGGCAGGCCTGAGCAATCTTTAATTCTGCAGAGGGACAATGACCACAGGATCCATACACCATATCAAGACCAGGGGAGCCAGGGACCAGTCCTTCAGGGGTGAGCAGGTCCAGGCAGGGGGCAGTGCCTCAGGTGAGTGAGGGGCAGATGGGCAGACAGGCAGGGGCCTAAAAAGACAAACCGCATAGAGCAGGGGTGTAGGGGCGCCGCTCCCCACCCTTACCCATCCCAGCCAGCACCCAGAGGGGCAACCCTAAGGTGACTGGCCCAGGATCCACCCTGGGGCAGAGTAGGCATGGTTGTGTTCCCTGGCTAGGGGGCCACATCCCACATCCCTGCCCAGCACACCAGGGACAGAGGCAACTCAGTTCAGGAGACAGGAGTTCCCTGGGCAGAGCCTGAGTGGGCCCCTGACTCCCAGGCCAACCCCACCCCGCCCGCCCCCTACTGCTGGCTCAGAAGCCGAAGGTTTCCTGGGAGGCGTAGACCATGTAGAGGAAACCGTCGTCGTCCTTCTCCTGCTCGTAGATGTCTGCGATGGGTGTGGACACGCTCACCATGCTGTGCTGGTTCACCAGCAGGAAGAAGGCCTGCGTGGGGTTCAACTGCAGGCGGCGCCTGAGGCGGGCGGGAGGGCAAACTGACTGTGAGCAGCCCGGCCCCTTGGCCCCCGACCCCCTCCCCAGAATGGTTCCAACCTTCACTTCACATCCACCTCAGACTTTTTAAGAGGATCTCATCCCTGACTCCACACTAACTCCAGCCCCGACCTTGACTGTCTGACCTCCCCAGAACAGGTGCCTAACACCGGTCCCAGGCCCCTGGCCCCACCCCTGCATCTCTCCCGAGGGGACTCGGCCCTCTGCCCGACCCCAGCCGAACCCAAGTCACCCTCCAGCGGCGGCTGCCCGCGTACCGGATGATCTTGACCAGCTCGCTCATATTGACATGGTCTGGGACCAGGAACTTGGTCTTATCCAGGACGGGCAGCTGCTTCTCACCCTTGTAGCGCTCGATGATCACCTGGGAGAGGGGTGGGGGAGGGGTGAGCCCAAGGCAGGGCCTGGAGCAGGGTGGGGAGGGGGAAGGGGCGGCAGGACTCACCGGGATCTTGCTGGGGTGCTGGTCGCGGATCTGCTGCACCTCTTTACAGCGGTCGGCTGCGGACGGCGGTCGGGCGTTCAAGCCGGGCGGAGGTGCTCCCCGGGCCCCGCCCGCCTGCTCCCGAGGGGCGGCCCCCGGCACCGCCCCGCCCGCCCAGGCCCCCGCCCCCGGGCCGTCCGGCCCCACAGCCCCCGGCACAAGACCGGGTGGAGAAGCCCCCGGCCCAGGCCGGAGCCCACCTCTCGGCCCCGGGGTCCAGCTGGAGTCTGACGTCATGGGGCTGACGTCACCACCGGCAGTCGGAGTGGGTGCGGGGGCCTCCCTACGCCCCCCATCCCGCGCTCGCAGCTCGCCCGCCAGGCCTCACCGAAGCTCCGCCGCTGCTTGAAAGGCCGGTCCGAGGGCATCGCGCGGGCCCGGCGGGACGCCCAGGCCCTGGCTCCGGGGAGCGCGGCGCGGGGATGTGGCTGCGGTTCGGGGGCTCCGGGGGCTCCTCGCCTCGCGTTCACGGGCTCTGGGGCTCGCGCTGAGCCCGGCAGCGGCGGCTCCGGGAGGTAACTCGCCCCGGTGACGTCAGGTCACAACATTCCTTAAAGGGGAAGCCAGCACGCCGCTCCCATTGGGCCGATGTAAAACCCGCCCGCCCGAGTCCGTGACGTCACGGCGCAGAGAGCCTGGATTCCCAGCCCGGCGACGCAAAGGGGCGGGGGTTCCCAGGGAGCGTCACAGTCCCGTGACGTCATGGTCTGCGCGGGCACCTCTTGCCAAGGTCCGCACTGAGGTGAGAGCTGAAAAACTGGCGAGACAGTTGCAGGGAGTGGGGTGAGAAGGAGTGGGGGAGCGAACCCAGTCTGGGCCGTGTACTTATGGCGGTGGGAGAGCGTGGGCCAGGCAGCAACTCAGCATCTACTTACTCCCGCTCTCACTGAGTCATTTGACAAACGCGCGCTCAGGGCCCGCTGCATTCCGGGCACTATATACGAGGCGCTGGAGATAACCGCAGTGAACCAAAGTCGTTACCTTCATGGAGCTTATGGTTAGAACAAAAAAAGGGGGGGAGGGAGAAGGGGGAGAATTTCAACGTATGGAAAGATTAAGACACTGAAAGGCAGCAGACAGGTTTTAAAAATAATTTCTAGAATTGAAAAACAGAGCCATTGAAATTCACGTCTCAGTGGATGGGGTAAGAAAACAAATTTGACACAGCAGAAGAGAAAATCACTGGAGGATAGATTAGAAGCATTTACCCAGAGAAACAAGGTGATGGAAAGTATAAAAGAGTAAGTGACATGAATAATAAAGTGAGAAGGACTCACAGGTCTAATCAGAGTACCAGGAGAGAATAGAAAGACTGTGGGAGAAAAATTAGACTGACAGCTGACTTCTTAGCCGCAAGTATAAAAGCCAGAATAAAATGTTATAATATCTTCAACTTCTTAGGGAAAAATATTGTCATCCAGTAGTTAATCCATGATTTAAGAGTCTGGGAGAAGGAAAGATATGTTAAGGCAAAGACAGAGTTTACACAAAAGATAATTGCTGAAATAATTTTTAAAGGATGTACTTCAATAACAACATGTAACCCAGAAGGAAGAAATTAGATGAAAAAATGGTGTCCACATAAATGGGTAAACTTGTAGGTAAATCTAAACAAGCACTTAATATAGAACAGTAATGAAAAAAAAACAAAAAACAAAAAACCATTGCCCTTAAGTTGATTCCGACTCATAGCTACCCTATAGGACAGAGTAGAGCTGCACTGTAGAGTTTTCAATGCTGTAATCTTTACAGGAGCAGACTGCCACATTTTTCTCCTGTGGAATGGCTGGTGGGTTTGAACCGCTAACCTTTCAATTAGCAGCCAAGTGCTTAACCACTGTGCTGCCAATGCTCCTATTAGAATAGTAATAGTAATGATTAATTTGTGGGGTACAGAAACAAGGTGCATGGGCCACAATAACCTGTAAGGCAGGAGAGGGTAATCAGGGTTAAAGTGTTCTAAGAAGTCTAGTTTGTTTGAGAGAAGGATAAAGATATTGACAGTTGTTTGGCTTTGTAAAGTCAAGTATGTATTTTAAACACTTAAGAGTGACCACTAAAAGAATAGAAATGGAATGTATAATTATTAGTGCTGAAAAGAGAAAAGGGTAGTAAAGGGTGCTAAAAATATAATAGAAGGCAGAAAGGAGAAAAAGGAAGTAAAGTAAAAAGGATGGTAAGTAAACAGCACAAAACCAGAGGTAGGAAATGTGATTTAAATTCACCTATTAAAAAACAGATGATCAGATTGGCTGAGGAAGATAAAATCCAGCTTATGCTATATACAAGAAGACACTTAAAACCCAAAGGCAGCAAAAGTAAAAAAAAGATGGGAAAAGATGTACTATAGAAAAACTAACTAAAAGATGTATATATAGCAAAATCAGACAAAATAGACTTTAAGGCAAAAGGCATTGTTAGGGATAAAGAGGATCACTAGAAAATGATGCAAGGCATTATTCTCTAGGAAGATACAACAGTTCTGAACTTGTATGTTCCAGTTATAATAGGCTCAAAATATATAAAATGACAGAAGTGTAAGGAGAAATTGCCAAATCCTCTATCATACTGGGAAATTTTTTTTATTGCTTTAAATTTTTTTTTTTATTATTTTGTTGTCATAGAGAATATACACAGCAAAACATATACCAATTCAGCAGTTTCTGCATGTACAATTCAGTGACATTGTTTACATTCTTCAAGTTGAACAACCATTCTCACCCTCCTTTTCCGAGTTGTCCCTCATTAACATAAACTCACTGCCCCCTAAGGTTCCTATGTAATCTTCTGAGTTGCTGTTGTCAGTTTGATCCCATAAAGACAGATTCTGAAAGAGCATAATGCTCAAGGCAAACATTTTTTACTAGTTAAGCTAAACTATTGTTTGGTTTTAAGAAGACTCCAGAGCATATTTTTGGTTTAAGGTTTAAAGATTATCTCAAGGCAGTAGTTTCAGGGGTTCATCCAGCCTCCATGGCTCCAGAAAGTCTGGATTCCATGAGAACTTGAAATTCTGTTCTTCATTTTCTCCGTTTTGATCAGGATTCTTCTATAGAGTCTTTGAACAAAATGTTCCCTACTGAGAAATTTTCTCTCTTTCAGTAACTGATAGACCAAGCAGCCAAAAAAGAAAGGATATAGAATAATCCTGATCATTGAACCTCAGTTGAACCCTGAACCCAACAAATTACTTTCAGTCACACATGGAACATTTACAAAAAATGACCCAACTACTAAGCCTCCATAAAAATTCAACAGTAACAAATAATCAATTTCATGCAGACCCTATTCTCTGACCACAGAAGTGGGGAAGTGGAAATTTAAACATACGTCCAAATAACTCCTTATTCAAAGGTGAAATCATGTAGAAATGAAAACTATTTAGATTTAATAAAAAATGAGGACAGATATCAAAATCTCTGGGGGGGGGCAACTAAGGCAGCACTCTTAGAAGGACACGTGTAGCCTTATTATATATATTAGTAATTTAATATAAAATTATAAACAGTGTCAGATTTAAAAACGAGTAACAGTGTAAACTCAAAGAAAGTGGAAGGAAGATAATAAAATAAGAGCAGAAATTAGTGAAATAATAAAAACCGTTGCATGGGTCAACAAATCAAAGCTGGGTCTTTGAAAAGACCAATAAACACTAGTGTGCAAAAGAGACATAACTACATATACAGCAGAAATCACAAAAATGAATGGAATATTGTAAACAACTTTATGCCAGTAAATTTAAAACTTCAATGAAATGGACGGTTTCCTAAAAATATATAATTTGCTAAAACTAACTCAAAAAGAAGTAGACAAACTTAGTAGCCCTATATCTATTAAGGAAATTGGAAAAAAAAAAAAAATCTACCCTCCAAAAAACCAACTAGCGTAGATGGTTTTCCACATGATTTCTACCAAGATAGAAAAAAAACCCAAACCTGCAGCAAACATCATACTTAATGGTAGAACACCATACTACATGGTGAAACAGTGAGCATTCCCTTTAAAGTCAGGAACAAAGTACTTCTATTTAGTGTTGTGGAGGACCCACCTAGAGCAAGACAAGAAAAATAAAGTAGTTAAGGATTGGACAGAAAGGGGCAAAAATATTATTGACAGCCAGGGAATCTACAAACAAGAAGAGACTGGTAAATAATATAGTTAATAATGACAACACATGGTATCAGGCTTTAGAAGAATGTGGGAAGATGGGAACTTTTTACTCTGCTGATGGGAGTATACTGGTACCCCCCACTTTTCAAAAGTTCGCTTTATGCCACTTTGCTTTTATGGAAGATGTACACTAGTACCTGTTTTCGCTAACAGAAAGAAATCCAAAGAGGATTTTTACTTTTACAAAAAAAGGTGAAAAGCGGAAATAGCATTCAGCATTTGTTGAGCCGTTAAAGAGGGAACGAGCACCCTGAGCAGCGAGAATAGTGTGGCCAAGCTCCACCCCTGGGAACCACACTCAGCATCTCAGCATTTAGCCACCATAGCTTTGAACTGTGTCTGTGAGCATCCGTGCTTTATCTTGATTTATTTTGTGCATCTGTTAGCAAGATGTGTCCTAAGGTACCAGAAAAGCTTAAGAGAGCTCCTGAGGGTTTTATGTGTTATTTGGTATGATTTGTTAGGTTATTTTTTGGGTCTGGGAATGCTCCACAAATTTTCCCATATAAATTAATGATAATTGCGTCTTTGCATTATGCCATTTCAGCTTACAAAAGTTTCCATAGGAGCGATCTACTTTCGGATAGCGGGGACAACTTGTAAATGATTTCAGCCACGTTGGAGAGCAATTTGGCAAAATCTACCAAAACAGAAGATGCCCATATCCACAAACCATGAATTCCACTTATAAGTGTGCCCCTGAGTGCAAGCAAACATGGTTAAGAATATTTATTGTAGCATTTTTATAATAGCAGAAAAGTGGAAACCACCTGTGATTGTTAAGGTTTGTGTCACCTTGGCTAGGCTGTGATCCTCAGTCGTTTGGCAGTTACGATGTAGTTTGGCAGCTTTTTAATGATGTAATCACTTCCTTGATGAGATCTGATATAATGTGATCACTTCCGTGATGGGATTTACTGTGAGTGGCCAATCAGTTGAAAGGGAGTTTCCTTGTGGGTGTGGCCTGCATCCAATATAGATGACTTTCTGGCAAGGCTTGCAGGCTTTTGCTCGCTGTGGATCATGCGGCTGGTTCCTGTTAATCTGACCTCCAGTTCTTAGGACTTGAGCTAGCAGCTGACCTACTAATCTTGGGTTCACTAGCCCCTGCAGCTACGTGAGTCGGGGAGAAGCTTCCGGCTTGACCCACAGACTTGGGACTTTCCAGCCTCTACAACTGCTTGAGCCGTTTCCTCGATATAAATTTCTCTGTATCTCTCTCTATATATAGATGTTTCACTGGTTTTGCTTCTCTAGAAAACCCAACCTAAGACACCACTTAAATGTCTTATTAACTAAATATCTTGTGTATTCTTAGAACACAATACACTGTTACAGTGGAACATCTAGAAGAGGATCAGCAAACTTTTCCTGTAAA